GACTCTCACATTTTTAAAAAGTAGAGAGCATTATTGTTACAGACTGAATTTTTATGCCAGTAGCTAAATGTCTAAGGCTTTCTGTCTGAGTAGGAAGAGAAATATTTAGTTGGGCATGATCTAACAGTCAGAAAATTGGTCCCCGAGTAATGGTTTTTTTGGTTTGTTTTTAGTTTTTTGTTTTGACACAGTCTCTGTTACTCTGGGTAAAGTATCATAACATCTCAGCTCACAGCCACCTCAAACTCTCGGGCTCAAGTGATCCTCTTGCCTCAGTTTTTCTACTGAAATACAGGGTCTCTTGCTCAAGCTGGTCTCAAACTCTTGAGTTCAGGCAATCTACCCACCTCAGTCTTCCAGACTGATAGGATTGCAGGCATGAGCCACTGAGTTCAGCCAGTCATGGGGTTATACAAAGTACCTGTTCACCAAAGAGCCACAGAGTGGGCCATAACTCAGATATTTCTCACCTCTTTTTCTTTTTTTTCTTTTTTTTTTTTTAAGACAGTCTTTCTTGCCCCTGGTAGAGTGCCATGGCATCATAGCTCACAGCAACCTCAACCTCTCAGACTCAGGTTGATTCTCTTGCCTCAGTCTTCCAAGTAGCTGAAACTACAGACTCCCGCCACAACACCCAGCTAGTTTTAGAGACAGGGTCACACTCTTTCTCAGGCTGGTCTTAAACTCCTCAACTCAGGCAATCCACCCACCTCAACCTCCCAGAGTGCTAGGATTACAGGCGTGAGCCACCACACCCAGCCATTACCTCTTATTTATTTTTTTGGAGATAGTCTCATTATGTCGCCCTCAGTAGTGCCCTAGCATCACAGCTCACAGCAACCTCAAACTCTTGGGCTTAAGCAATTCTCTTGTCTTAGCCTCCCAAGTAGCTGGGACTATAGGTGCCCTCCACAACGCCTGGCTATTTTTTGGTTGCAGTTGTCATTGTTGTTCAGCAGGCCCAGGCTGGGCTCAAACCTGCCAGCCTTGGTGTATTTGGCCAGCGCCCTACTCACTGAGCTATAGGCACCAAGCCATCTTTATTTATTTATTTATTTTTGAGGTGGAGCCTCGCTCTATTGCTCCAAGCTAGAGTGCCATGACCTCTTCCTAGCTGACAGCAACCTCAAACTCCTGAGCTAAAGTGATACTCCTGCCTTAGTCTCCCAGAGTGCTAGGATTATAGGCATGAGCTACTGTCCCCAGCCAAATCCTCCCATTTATAACCAGAACCTGAAAAAAACCTATTACCCAAAAGAAAAAGAAGAAACAAGAGATAAGAGAGTACCACTATCCAAAAATACTCTGCATTTTGTTTTACTTATTTATTTTTAGAGACAGTCTCAACATTCGTCACTCTTGGTAGACTGCTGTGGCATCATAGCTCACAGCAATCCCAAACTGTTGGGCTCAAGTGATTTTCTTGCCTCAGCATGCCAAGTAGCTGGGACTACAAGTGCCAGCCACATCGCATGGCTATTTTTATTTATTTTTTTTATTAAATCATAGCTGTGTACATTAATGCAATCATAGGGTACCATGTGCTGGTTTTATATACCATTTGAAATATTTACATCAAACTGGTTAAGCACGGCTATTTTTAGAGACAAAGTCTCTTTCAGGCTGTTCTCCAACCTGTGAGCCCAGGCAATCCACACACTTTGGCCTCCTAGAGTACTAGGATTACAGGCGTGAGCCACCATGCCCGGCTGTTTTACTTATTTATGATTTCATTCCCTCAGTAGAATGAAGTAAACTAGTAAACTCCACGAAGAGGGACTACCTTTGGCTTGAATCAGCCAGGAACCTTTACCATAACACATAGTGGTGTCTTTATAAATAATTTTTTAAATGAATGGCTTAAGAGTTAAGGGCACTCATGAGCTTTGAAGACAGACTTGAATGCAAGTCCTCAGTTGTTATTTCATAGAGGTGTAACTAACAGTTATTAAGCTTCTCTAATAATAGTACTTAGCTCCAAGGTTTTGTGATTTTATTTTATTATTATTTTTTTGAGACAAGAGTCTCAAGCTGTCACCTTGGATAGAGTGTCATGGAGTCAGAGCTCATAGCAACCTTCACATGGAGTCAGAGCTCATAGCAACCTTCAACTCTTGGCCTTAAGTGATTCTCTTGCCTCAGCCTCGAAAGTAGCTGGGACTACAAGCACCCACCACTTGACACCTGCTATTTTGGTTTTGTGATTTTAAAAAGATAATGAATGTAAAGTGCTTATTACCTAGCAGATCATAACCTGATTATATTTACTGAGCATGCATGCCAGAAGTTGTTCTAATGCTGAATGTGGATTGACTATGTAATCCTCACCATAACTCCAGGAGGCAGGTGCTATTATTATGCCCATTTTTACAGTCAAGGTGAATGAGACAGAGTGGTGAAGGAAATTACTCAAGTTCTTTAAGCAGAAATAGCTTTTAAACCCAGTCTGGCTCCGGTCCTGTGTTTAAACAAAATACTACAATTCCACTCATGAAGCCCTCAAAATGTTAGCTTTTATAACATTATAATTACAACTATCAGCGGATGGTGAGGAACTCTTACTCTCGGAAGTTTACATTTTCCTTCTTAACAGCTGAGGAAAAATTATAGGACAGAACTGACATAAAAGACATACCCAGTGAGGCGGTTTCTGATGATTTTGACACTCATCACTGTCTCCCCCATGGTGGCAAAGGCTCTGGAGATGAAGTTCTCATCCATGTAGGGTTCTAGCTGCTTAAAAACAAGAGAGAATGGGCCTTTTCGGTGTGACCAAGGGACCATTCGTTGTCTGTGATCAATGTATCTTGCTCTGCAAACCTAACTTTGTCTTGGGATAGACAAAAAACAAGAGAGTAACTCAGGGCGGGCACGATGGCTCAGTCCTGTAATCCTAGCACCCTGGGAGGCCAAGGCGGGAGGACTGCTTGAGCTCAAAAGTTCGAGACCAGCTCTGAGGAAGAGCAAGACCTCATTTCTACTAAAAAATAGAAAAAACTAGCCGGGCGTTGTGATGGACGCCTGCAGTCCCAGCTACTCGGGAGGCGGAGGCAGGAGGAGGATCCTTTGAGCCCAAGAGTTTGAGGTTGCCGTGAGCTATGGTGGCGCCAGGTCACTCTACCAAAGGTGACAAAGTAAGACTCTGTCTCAAAATACAAAGAACGACTCAAGCCAGAGCCCCTCCCTCTCAGCAGAGCTTTCCTTCGGCACAATGGTCTGGACTCCCAGCTCCTTCTCTTCAAATTCCCCCTACCTTTAGGGAGCCCCCCTTGGAATTAGGAACCCCATCCTTCCGTCCTAGAACCAAACACAGCTCCCCCCAATCCTCGGGGCGCTCCTCACTCTATTCCTCCAAACACCTCCCTCTCTCCCAGGAACCCCGGTGGGGGCCCCAGGACCCCTCCCCCGCTAACTCTGCCCTTTCCCTCAGAAGTGGGACCCACTTTTGTATCTCCCCAAATAACCCGTTCACGTCCACCCTTTTGGGATCCGAAGTCCTCCTCGCTCCCTAGCGACACCGAGATTCCTCCTCCCCCCTCAGAGCCCCGGCGGCCGCCTCACTCACGTCGCCCATCCACAGGCTGGCCGCCATGCCCGCGTACCCCGGTGGGACGTCGCGGGCCTCAAAGGCCCGCGCGGGAGCCAGTCCTAGCTGCGGAGACCGTCACGGAGCATGCGCGTCCGACGGCCTTTGCGCAGGCTCCGAAACTCAACCGTGAGGGGCGGGCCGCGACGCTGGGCTCTGGGTTTATAAGGCGACCGGCCGGGCGCGGAGCTTCCGGCGCGCGGGGGGCGGGGCAGGCGCCGGCTGGGTCCGTGGGCTTTTTGGTACCGGGCGCCCTCGGGTTTATTTCTGATTCTATGTATTTAAAAAA